ATAGAGTTAACCTAACCTTTTCGTTGGATAGAGTTAACCTAACCTTTTCGTTGGATAGAGTTAACCTAACCTTTGTGTTGGTTAGAGTTAACCTAAACTTTGTGTTGGATAGAGTTAACCTAACCTTTGTGTTGTTTATAGTTAACCTAACCTCTGTGTTAGATAGAGTTAACCTAACCTTTGTGTTGTTTATAGTTAACCTAACCTCTGTGTTAGATAGAGTTAACCTAACCTTTGTGTTGGTTAGAGTTAACCTAAACTTTGTGTTGGATAGAGTTAACCTAACCTTTGTGTTGTTTATAGTTAACCTAACCTCTGTGTTAGATAGAGTTAACCTAACCTTTGTGTTATTTAGAGTTAACCTTACCTTTGTGTTGGATAGAGTTAACCTAACCTCTGTGTTGTTTAGAGTTAATCTAACCTCTGTGTTGGATAGAGTTAACCTAACCTTTGTGTTGGATAGAGTTAACCTAACCTTTGTGTTGGATGGAGTTAACCTAACCTCTGTGTTGGATAGAGTTAACCTAACCTCTGTGTTGTTTAGAGTTAATCTAACCTCTGTGTTGGATAGAGTTAACCTAACCTTTGTGTTGGATAGAGTTAACCTAACCTTTGTGTTGGATGGAGTTAACCTAACCTCTGTGTTGGATAGAGTTAACCTAACCTCTGTGTTGGATGGAGTTAACCTAACCTCTGTGTTGGATAGAGTTAACCTAACCTTTGTGTTGGTCAGAGTTAACCTAACATTTGTGTTGATTAGAGTTAACCTAACCTTTGTGTTAGTTAGAATTAATCTAACCTCTGTGTTGGATAGAGTTAACCTAACCTCTGTGCTGGTCAGAGTTAACCTAACCTCTGGGCTGGTCAGAGTTAACCTAACCTCTGGGCTGGTCATAGTTAACCTAACCTCTGGGCTGGTCAGAGTTAATCTAACCTCTGGGCTGGTTAGAGTTAACCTAACCTCTGTGTTGGATAGAGTTAACCTAACATTTGTGTTGATTAGAGTTAACCTAACCTTTGTGTTAGTTAGAATTAATCTAACCTCTGTGTTGGATAGAGTTAAGCTAACCTCTGTACTGGTCAGAGTTAACCTAACCTCTGTACTGGTCAGAGTTAACCTAACCTCTGGGCTGGTCAGAGTTAACCTAATCTCTGGGCTGGTCAGAGTTAACCTAATCTCTGGGCTGGTTAGAGTTAACTTAGCTCCTCTTCTCCTGCAGCTCTTCCTGGTTGCTGTTGGACCGATCAGAGATCTGATAAAACCATGAGGATCTTCCTGCTCTTCTGCCTTCTGGCTCTTGGAAACACCAAACCCTATAGGCCCGTCAACATCATGGACTTCATGAAAAACTACGACATCATGATGGCGGATTCTGATGAAGACGAGGACAGTGATGAAGAGGATGAGGACGAGGATGAGGATGATTACGATGATGAGGACTGTCCAGCCCACTGTCGCTGTTCACCTCGAGTGTTGCAGTGCTCCGATCAGGGTTGGAACCAACATTAACGTTCTGTAGAAAACTGGTGTTTTTCAGGTCCGACCAGGTTCTGGTCCTTAATCAGGTGTTTGTGGTCCTGTCCTCAGGTCTAAAATCTGTCCCTGAGAAGATTCCTGAGGACACGGTGATCATCGACCTCCAAAACAACGACATCACTGAGATAAAGGAAAACGACTTTAAAGGCTTGAGCAGGCTTCACGTAAGAGAAACTTTATTTGTTAAGAAATAAATATTTGAGGCTAAATGCTTGTTGCAAACTAGTCTTTTTCTTTGGAGGTTTTTACCACAAATATGAGAGTTTTCCTCTAACTGCAGCAACATGTTTTATTTAAATGTCGACAAATAGCAGCAGAGCAGAAAGACGGAGAGTTTATGAATCTGATGGATTAGTTAGGTTAGGTGATGCTCAGAGAGCTACAAATCAAAACAACATCCCAGAAACAGAAACCAGCTTTCTGCCATCTGAGAAGGTTGTTTTTCAATCTGGCAGCAGTTCACTCACCACAACAACAAGAAGCACACCACAGATCTGTGCTCCAGCAGTGACTCATCAAACAAAACTCACTCCAGTCTGCTGAAACTTTTATTTTCCTTTTGTTTCACATTTAAATCAACTCCACGTAGTTTCAGTATTTAAGAGAAAACACTGAAAACCCAAAACAAAAGTAGCCTGACGGTGAGCAGATCCCTCCTGTTAAATATATGCTTGTGACTTGTTTTGTAATAATCATGTTAAAAACATTGAGAGTTCAGTTTATGTAAAGCAGCATAATGACGAATAATGAGACGAGAAAAACGTTTCCATTCAGATTCAAAGACGTGGTTTTCCTTTTTTTGGCAACAGGGTCTGTTTCTGATCAACAACAAGATCTCCAAGATCCACCCAAAGGCCTTCAGGAACATGGACCACCTCAGACTGCTCTATCTGTCCTACAACCAGCTGACGGAGGTCCCCGCCAACCTGCCGCCCAACATCATCGAGCTGCGATTCCACGAAAACCAAATCAACAGAATCCAGAAGGACGCGTTCAAAGGGCTGAGGAAGCTGCACGTGTTGGGTGAGACCAACGTTCGGCTTCTTCTCCGGATGGAAAAAGAAAAAATAAACATGTTTGAGCTGGTTCTAAGGAACAATTTCCAAGTTTCCATAAAATCAAAACATGGGTGCAGTTTATGAAAAAGTTTTAAAAACAGAAACCTGACGGCGGCGGGGTCAGGGTCACATGATTTACTCTGAAGATTTGGAAACGTGGCGGGCGACGTGCATTTCATTAAGGAATGCTTCTTTCATTCTGCTCCTCAGCTGTTTTTCCACACTTATTTCCTGCTTTCCATCATCAGTTATATAACTTCAGGGTTGCTTGATTAATTACAGCTTTGTGTAATTTAAACAAAGTCGTCCTGACTGATGAGGTTTCCATCCCAACGGATCGATTAGAGTTCGTCATCAATGACTCATCCAGATGTTTCGTGTTTATCTGAACAGAGCTGGGAGCCAACCCTCTGGTCAACAGTGGGCTGGAGCTGGGAGCGTTCAACGCCATGTCCACGCTCTACATCGGGATGGCAGAGGCCAAACTGACGGCTGTGCCCAAAGGTACCACGTCCGTTTTCAAACCAACGCTCAGATGTATCCTCTGGACTCACCAAAAGTCTCTTCCTTCATTTATAATTAGTTAAATTTAATGATTGGCGTTTCGTCCCCCAGACCTCCCAGCGTCCATCACAGAACTGAACCTGGACTACAACAAGATCTCCAAGGTGGAGGTGGAAGACTTCATCAGATATAAAAACCTGCAGAGGTAACGACATACCATCAGTCTGAGCTTTCAAGAAACTCCTAAAAACTCACTTTTTCACTCAAGCGTTTAGCTAACCATTTCACCATTACTGCCAGCCTACCTCCATTGTGAATGCTCGGCAATCTGTCTTTTCTTTATTGTTGAACTTACCCCATATTTTTCTCTCCCGCATTCATTATGTTTTGTGTATTATTGTATATTTTAAACTGCATTGACCTTGTGTTTGATTTACAGTTTTAGAAATTAATTTCTTGATTTGATGTTTTAATTTACTTTGCTTATGTTTAATTATGTTTTTCTGTTTCATTTTATTCTTTCCACCATTTTTATACTGTTAATGATTGTACAGCACCTTGTGAATATATTTCTGTGAAACTAACTAACTTACTTACGAGTCAACATTTATGTCCAAACAGTCAGAACCTTTGCTTTTTAACTCTCTTTTCTCAGGTTAGGTTTGGGTTTTAACCAGATCAAGTTTGTAGAAAACGGTAGTTTGGCCAACCTTCCAAACGTCAGCGAGATCCATCTGGACCACAACCGTTTGAAAAAGGTTCCACCAGGCCTGGGCTCGCTGCGCTACCTCAGGGTGAGCTACACATACTGGGAGGGGTCGGGTCATTGCACCGGTTTCATCAAGCAGGTCCCCATTTAAAAACTGTGACCGAACCAACAACCAGTCAGATTCTGAATCCAAACCAGGACCTGAGGTCCAGACAGAAGAAAACAGATTTTATTTTTATGCAGATAAAAATCTCAGTTTCAGTGCAGATGACCAAAATGATCTAACTGAGCAAACCAGTCTAGTAAACCAAATCAACAGTAAAACCAAATATATTATATTTATTTTTATTCTTTGCAGAAGTAAATGTTGAAGAACGACAAGGAATAAGGTCTTCTATCAATCCATAATGAGCAACTGTTAGGTCAACTGTAAACAACTGATAACGAGTCCTTAATGTTTAAGAAATGTTGTCTTAATAAAGCAAAACTAAACATTAAACTTACTCATGTTCTGATGGAAAGATTGACCTTTTATCTCCAAAATAAAAGTCCTCACAGTTTGAATAATGTTGAGCATTCAAACTGTTCAACATCCTTAAAACCCTTCAAAATGTTTACAAACCTTTTCTGCACTTTTAACTTTTAGTTATGTTTCAGCCTTTTTGAGGTAACTTCATCTTTTACAACTATCTTTCTGCTCCTTTCAACTATTCCTCTGTTAATTTAAATTTTTAAGTCAGTTTCTTTTTTTGCCAATTTAAGATGTTTATCTTTCTTTTAACTGATTCTGCCAATTCTAGCTGTTTCCTGTTGTTTTAGCAACTTTGTAGAATTTTCAGCTAACTTTAGCTCTTTCATCTTTGTGCTAATTTCAGCTTTTTCAGCTACCTTTTAGCTATGTTGTGCTAAATTTGGCTGCTTTAGCTTTAAAACATTAAATTGCAGTTCTTTTATTCTCCTTGTTTTTCTGCCAGTGTGAGTTTTTTATTCTGTCCACCATCTGCTAATTTCAGCTAGCTTCTGCTGCTGTCAGCTAAAGTCAGCTGTTTCAATTGAACTCTATTTTCAGCAGCTTTGAGGAAAACTCTTCCAGCACTAAGCGCTCACACTTCTCTAGCTACAGCTAGTGAGTTTGGAGAATTAGAGGAAATAAAAGCCACGTCTCTGTCTATACAGGTGATTTATCTTCACGGCAATAAAATCAAAGACGTGGGCTTCAACGACTTCTGTCCCACATCTCTGAGCGTGAAGAAGAACCCGTACACGGCCATCAGCCTCTTCGCCAACCCGGTGAAATCCTGGAACATCCAGCCCGCCACCTTCCGCTGCGTGACCAGCAGGAGGGCTGTCCAGCTGGGAAACTTCAGGAAGTAGGAGAAGAAGAACTGCTAACATCCTGATGAGACGATGAGGACCAGCTGGAAATATTTCTGATAATTAAATGTTTTAATGTTGATGTAAAAACCTGTGTTCAGCTTGATTCTAGAGTCTGTCAGCTAATAAATCATATGAAATCATAAGCTAACATTACTGAGGGACTGATCACATTTAGAGGTTACTCTGACAGGAAAACAGCGCCACCATCTGGTCATTTCTTACTCGGACTCACCTTTTATCAGGTTTTTTTATTTTAAATGAATAGGAATCATTTTAACATTAAATGTTTTACTGCTTTTTTATTATTATTAATTAAAAAAGATAATTACCAAAGCAGAGTTAGACTGGAGATGCAGTGTTAGCAGAGAAAAGGTATTTGTTTTTAATTTAGGTCTGAAATATGGACGGAGTGCTGCTTGAATAATTTAGTTGACTTTGAAGCCTAGTGTTGGTGTTTTTGTGGATGTTTTATGTTATCTAACTGCATGCTCGTGGCTGAATCAGACTGATGTAGATGTGTCCTCTGCAGAGCTGAGGTCCAACCCATCAATCATTTCTTCCTGGTTATCCAATCAGCCTGCAGACGTCCAATCAGGAGCATCTTCTGCTCAAACGTGTTCTTACCTCCTGGAAAATGGTGCTATATTTATTCAGGATGTCTGTAATAAACCTGGAACACCTCAAACAATATTGTTCCTGTCTTTAAAAACAATTAATAAAACTTAAATTGAAAAGGAAATCAACTATTTGATTTTATTTAAGGTTTGTACCGTCACACGTGTCTCATTCTTGAAATAATTGACACTATTAATGTAGAGAAATGTTCCAACATTCAGCAACTTTCTTCACTAAAACCCAACAGTAGTTGAGAGAAAAGCAATACTTGATGTATAAAATGTGTAAAAAGTCCTGAAGAAGCTCGGTTCAGTCCAACTTTCTGTTCAAACTGAATCAAAAATCTCAAAAGAAACTGAAATTTAAAAAAGTTTGAAATATTTCAATAAAATAGTTAATTTATACCCTTCATAAATGCATAGAAATAAGTTATTATCTGCAGAATGTCTCCAATAATTATTTTGTTTACCTTTCATAACAAAGTCTGTAATTTGAGTTATTTGGCTCTTATGATTAAACTGAGTTTTGACAAAACATTTTAAATGTCTTTTCTTAAGCGTGGCCTGTGACTTAAATAAAAATATTAAAAAGCCACTTTCAGTCATTTTACCCGAGTTCAATAATAGATTTAGTGATGAGTTCAGTTAAAAGGCAGCTCAGTCTTTCTGGGACGTGTTGGTTCATCACTTCAGCCACTAGCAGGCGTCTCTGCAGAATAAACCGTTGCAGCTGCAGAACTCTAGCTGTGGTTCCTCTGATTTAATCTATTTCAACCAGCAGAACAGACCAAATCAATTCTAAAACAAACAAATAAAAACAATCTGGAGGACATGATTTATATCCATCCAGGGATTCAGGACTGTGGTCGTTATATATTAAATATTTAAACTCACACTAACATGTTTTTAATACATCTTACTCCATACAACACTATGTGATCAGGACCTCCTGCTGCTCTCAGGTCAGAAGGTGTTTAATGGTTTCCACACAGAAACTGTCCCAGGTTTATGTTTTAGTCTGTCGCTCCCTGACAGACGTGTCGGTACAAGCTGTGGTGGTGTCACCATTTCTTTACATGTTGTTCCCCTAAAAACCTCTGAGAGGTGCTGATCACCAACACTGGACCTGAGAAAGTCCTTCATTCTGTCCTCGCTGAGTGAAACCCAACACCTGCTGTGGTCACCTGAGACCTGGTCCTGACAGCTGAGGACATTAGGATCAGCTGTCTCACAGAGACACATCGCTGACCTGAGGACGCTCCGACTCTTTGACCACTTTGTCTCCGTAAAACCAAGACTTTTCATGAAGTGAGGAGGTGGAGGGGAGGGGGCCGACCCTGTCTCCAGAAAACATGTGGAACAGATCAGTTGGTTGGCCAGGTTTTGTCCTGCCACGTCTCACTCACACTCACACACACACACACACACACACACACACACACACACACAC